CGAGAGTGCGGAGGGTGGCCCAACGCCGGGCGGCTACAAGGGCTGGCAAAACAGGCTTCAGGGTTTCGGGTTTCGGGTTTAGGGTTTAGGGTTGAGGGTTTAGGGTTTAGGGTTTAGGGTTTACATCTCTGACGTTTTGCATGCCAAAGCGATGTGGATGAGGGTGCGGCGCCTCATGAAGAAGATCTATTTGAGAAAGAGCAAAGTTCGTGTCCCCCGGCCGTTAAAACAGTACTCAAGAACCTTTCTTAACAATCTTCAGAAGCCAGGTGGGCCATGGAGGGGGTGGTTCTGACAGACTCCTCGTTTGGTGCGCAGCCCAGACTGTAAACATGAAATGACCTGATACTTGAGGGCCCGGCTCGAAGCCCGCCTTCGCCAATCCTCGACCCACATGGATGCTCCACATCAAGACTATGCCGGTCAGGATTAAGGGTTAAGGGTTAAGGGTTTAGGGTTTAGGGTTTAGGGTTTAGGGTTAAGGGTTAAGGGTTAAGGGTTAAGGGTTAAGGGTTAAGGGTTAAGGGTTAAGGGTTTAGGGTTTAGGGTTTAGGGTTTAGGGTTTAGGGTTTAGGGTTTAGGGTTTAGGGTTTAGGGTTCAGCATCTCAAGTTCGAGCATTCACTAGTCAAGCAGCTTGTCAAGCGTTGGAAAAAAATCCCACCCACCCAAGAAACCCATAACATTGAGGAAATATAAAGTTCACTCAATACTTTCCCGGTAGGCTTAAAGCTCAAAGTCCAATTGGTCCAAAATATTTTAGTTTTTAACGGACCCAAAACCCGAAATCTAATCTAAGGCCCGCAATAAGCCCTTTATGCTCTTAGGGCCCTAAACCCTACGGTTTAGAAGCCCCGATCGGTGAAGGCTCGGTTTTGGTCAAAAATCCAGAAAACGAGAGCCCACCCAGAACCGTCGATTTCAGTACTAAAAAATCGCATTTTTAACTGGGACCCTTGCCGTCCTCATTTGGGTTGTTTTAAGAGGCAAACTTTCCCTCTAAGGGGGGGTCGGAGTGGGGGGTGGGGGGGGGAGGGGGGGGGGGGAGGGGGGGGTGGGGGGGGGGGGGGGGGGGGGGGGGGAGGGGGGGGTGGGGGGGGTGGGGGTGGGGGGGGGTGGGGGGGGGTGGGGGGGGTGGGGGGGGGGGTGGGGGGGGGGGGGGGGGGGGGGGGGGGTGGGGGGGGGGGGGGTGGGGGGGGGGGTGGGGGGGGGGGGTGGGGGGGGGGGTGGGGGGGGGGGTGGGGGGGGGTGGGGGGGGAGAAGAAAAAAAAACAATATGCCGACGAAGGGGGTCAGGGTTTAGGGCCCACCACAGGGAAAAAAACAATATGCCGACGAAGGGCGTCAGGGTTTAGGGCCACCAGGGGGGGGAAAAAACAATATGCCGACGAAGGGGGTCAGGGTTTAGGGCCCACCAGGCGGGAAAAAAAACAATATGCCGACGAAGGGGGCGGGTTTGGGCCCACCAGGGGGAAAAAACAATATGCCGACGAAGGGGGTCAGGGTTTAGGGCCCGCCAGGGGGGCAAAAAAAACAATATGCCGACGAAGGGGGGTCAGGGTTTAGGGCCACCAGCGGGGAAAAAAAAACAATATGCCGACGAAGGGGGTCAGGGTTTAGGGCCCACCAGGGGGGAAAAAAACAATATGCCGACGAAGGGGGTCAGGGTTTGGGGCCACCAGGGGGGGAAAAAAACAATATGCCGACGAAGGGGGTCAGGGTTTAGGGCCCACCAGGCGGGAAAAAAACAATATGCCGACGAAGGGGGTCAGGGTTTAGGGCCCACCCAGGGGAGAAAAAAACAATATGCCGACGAAGGGGGTCAGGGTTTAGGGCCACCGGGGGGGAAAAAAAACAATATGCCGACGAAGGGGGTCAGGGTTTAGGGCCCACCAGGGGGGAAAAAAACAATATGCCGACGAAGGGGGTCAGGGTTTAGGGCCCACCAGGGGGGAAAAAAACAATATGCCGACGAAGGGGGTCAGGGTTTAGGGCCCCCCCCCCGGTTTTGGTCAAAAATCCAGAAAACAGGAGGCCACCCAGAACCGTCGATTTCAATACTAAAAAATCGCATTTTGAACTGGGGCCGGGGCTGATCCTGGGGTCCCCCTCATTTGGGGTGTTTTGGGGGGGCCCCCGGGTGGAAAAAAACAATATGCCGACGAAGGGGGTCAGGGTTTAGGGCCCAGAAAAAAACAATATGCCGACGAAGGTCATTAGGGTTTAAATATACATAGTAAGAGAGGGTTTAGGGTTTAGGGTTTAGGGTTTAGGGTTTAGGGTTTAGGGTTTAGGGTCAGGATTGCCTCTGGTTGAGCGAGCTGGAAGTAGCGTTCCGAGGGGATCACCGCGCGGGGACTTTGGGCTGAGAAATGGAGAAGCTTGAAGGCACCAGCAACCTCTTACTTCTTCTCCTATAACCTTTGGGAAAAAAGGTTAAACTTCAATATTCCTACTAAATAAGGAAACCCAAAAAGTTTAAAGTTCAACTAAGGGCGAAGTAAGACCTAGGTATCCACACCCGACTTGCCATAATCCAGAGTATGTATGCGATCTTGCACGGGTTCGTCGCAGTTCTGTGAACGTGGCACCCGAAACATTCCCCTCAAGGGCCTTCCTCCAGCCAGCTCGTGTCATAGTCTCCACAGCAGGCCGCATAAGTGTAGTCCTCCTGGTCAGGCGGCAGGAGCTTAGGGATTCACTCCCCAGACCCGAACCTGACTTGGAGGGCTCCACCCTGAAACCCTGAACCCCTTAATGACAGGCTTTGGAGCTTTGAGAGTCGGTCCGGGTCCTCATCTGGGAGTTTGCGAAAATGAGGGGCCCCATAATCGACCCCCAGATAAGAAGATTCCCTCATACTAAGGACCCCAATAAGATACCCCCTAATTTCGGAAACCCCCGTCTCCTTGTGAAGCTTCAAACCGCTGAGCCATGTTCCGCAAATTCCTCCGTTTCTTCGTCGTGACTCAAAGATCTCAGCGTGCTTTACGGTCTGGGGTTGAGGGTTTAGGGTTTGGGGTTTGGGGTTTGGGGCTTAGGGTTTGGGGTTTAGGGTTTATAAGGTCTCGGGTTTTAGGGTTTAGGGTTTAGGGTCCAGGCTTGAGGGTCTGGGGTTTTGTGGGGGATTTTTCGGGATTGGGAGGCTGCGCTCCTGCCAACACCGGCTGTGGTTGCCCCAGCAGCAGGCATCCGCACTGAAGCCTAGCGGAGGACCCCGAATTCCCTGAGTCTCTTGTTAACCTTGTTGGGGGTTTCCGAGGATGGGGGCCCCTTTACGGGGCTTTTTTTCGGGTATAAAAGGGGCACCCCCATTTTGGGTCGAACGATGGCCTTGCCATGCCACCTTGCCTACTGCAGGGCCCTTCATGGCCTCTCATACAGGGGTCGTTAGGGTTGCTTTGTAATCATACTACAATAACCCCCCCAAAACCCTGTTCTAACTTTTAAGGCCCCTCTAGTACCGGGCTGAGGGATCTGTCATCTTCAACCGCAGCAGGGTTCGCCCTATCGAACCAAAGGAATGCCATCCCTCCGACCTCTCATCAACTCCAGCTAACCTGTCTGATTGTCAAGTTGAGGGCCCAGTCGTCTGAGAAAACCCAAACCCTTGCTCCCAATCCCTCAATGAAGCCTTGGCGGCATTCGCCCCATCGAAGCGCCTAGAGCCTAAGAGCCCCTTAAAGCACCAGAAGCGCCAGAGGTCACACCACATGCACCCACATGCTGGGGTGCTTTTTTTGAAGCAACTCTCGACCGACGCGGAGCCTCTTTGGGCCTTTGCAGTCTCCGCTTGGAGGTGCTGCGGCGGATGGTTGAAAGGACTCAGAGTCTCTACTCAGGTGTCCCTGGGTTCTACAAGCTCGCGACGAAAAAAACTACTGAGACCTATGTCCTCCCAGGACGCAGCTTGAAGAGAAGTGTCGATGCACCTGGCTCAAAGCGCTTCCCCAACCCCTTGCGATGTAGGGCTTAGACTTAGGGAGTAATAATACAGCTCCTCTAGTAATAACACTCATAATAATCATCATCATCATCATCATCATCATCATCATAACAATAATAATAACAACAAAATAATAATAATAATAATAATAATAATAATAATAATAATAATAATAATAATAATAATAGTAATCATAATAATCATAATAATCATAATAATCATAATAATCATAATAATCATCATCATCATAATCATAATCATGATCTTCATAATCTTCATAATCTTCATAATCTTCATAACTGCTTTATCTTCATAATCTTCATAATCTTCGTAATCTTAGTAATCTCAATGATCTTCAAAACCTTATTTATCTTGACAATCTTGATAAGGCTCAAGATGCACTTCCACAGAAGCTTCTAGGATCGACGCTACGCATGGGTGTCAAGGCCTTCGGGCCCGGAGTCGCCCCCTCAAAAGCCCTGAACCCTTTTTCATGAGGGTTTAGGGTTTAGGGTTTAGGGTTTAGGGTTTAGGGTTTAGGGTTTAGGGTTTAGGGTTTAGGGTTTAGGGTTTAGGGTTTAGGGTTTAGGGTTTAGGGTTTAGGGTTTAGGGTTTAGGGTTTAGGGTTTGGGTTTCTCTGGCCGCCTTCGGGGTTCGGAGGATATAAACCCTTATTTTGATGAGGAACATTTCAGGTCGTTTAGGGTGTTTTAGACCTTTGTTTTGGGCGCTTCTCCGGCGCAGGCTCGAGTCTCGAGCTCAGTCTGCTAAGTTTCGGGTGCATGGGTTTCTGGGCTCTCCCGAAAACTGGAAGACAAATTCAGGAAACAACTGGGCTACTGGGCGGACTTAAACCGATCAGAGGACCCACGGCGCGAACTTGGCCAAATGCCGAGGGGGGATTGCAGCCGCTTCAGGGCTGCGGGCTCCGAGGCGCCAAAATAAAGCATAGACCCCACCTCCTAAACCCTAAACCCTAAACCCTAGCCCTAAACCCTAATCCCTAAACCCTAAACCCTAACCTCAAACCTCAAGTAGCCCTTGCCCCCCAGTTGCAAACAGCTTGTTGCGTTCAAGCTCTCGACCTTCACAAGCCCAAGCCGATCCCTCCGCTTTGCAGCCCGGATGCTTCAGGACTGGCGAATATGGCCTTCAGTTTCAGAGCACCCCACACGCGTTTCTCCTATCATCAGTACTCGGTCGTTCTTGTACTCATCCTAGTGCTAGTAGCAGCAGTAGCAGCAGTAGTAGTAGCAGTAGCAGCAGTAGCACCAGTAGTAGCAGGAGTAGCAGTAGTAGCAGTAGCAGCAACAGTAGCAACAGTAGCCACAGTAGCCACAGTAGCCACAGTAGCAACAGTAGCAATAATCGCAAAAGTAGCAATAGTAGCAATAGTAGCAATAGTAGCAATAGTAGCAATAGTAGCAATAGTAGCAATAGTAGCAATAGTAGCAATAGTAGCAATAGTAGCAATAGTAGCAATAGTAGCAATAGTAGCAATAATAGCAATAGTAGCAATAGTAGCAATAATAGCAATAGTAGCAATAGTAGCAGTAGTAGCAGGATAGTACCAGTAGTAGTAGCAGTACTGGAAGCAGTGGCAGTACTAGCAGCAGTAGCAGTAGCAGCAGCAGTAAGGAGTAGCAGTAAGGAGTCGACCAAGCAGAATGTTTGGAGTTTGGGTTTTAGGATGTTTCAGGGTAGGGCCTCTGCCCATACTCCTGTGTGCAGTTTTTTTGAGGCTGTTAAGGTGTTCAGTACAGTACAACCCCGAAGTCACAACCACTGAATGGGCTCACATCCGACGCCCCGCTTCCAAACGCAAGCCCTTCAGACATCACGAACAACCCTGTCACTGCCTGCTGAGGCGCACGCAAGCCGAATATAAATCACGTGCCAGAATGAGAAAACGCCCCTTGAAATCAAGCCGAAACCCATCAAACCTGAACCCAATCCATACTCCCACAACCCTAACGCCCGAAGCCTACACACCTTGCAAACTGCCCTTGCCACCCAGTCGCCGCGCCCCCAAAGCTGCCTTTTGTGGGGCTGGGGGTTGGAGTCTGATCGTTTTGCACAGAGTTTTCCTTTGTAGGCTTGTGTTCACGACATCCTTGCAGGGGCAGTCTGGAGGAATGACTTTTGAGGGAAGGCGCAGGGGGCCCAGGTTGACCACTTTTAAAGCCCGGGTCCTAAAAGAAAGGGAGGTTCAGGAGGCACATGAAAACGGATAAGAGAACGGCAGAGGGCGCGCATAGTGTGTTTCATGTATGGCTTACGGGGTTTTTGCGACGGCTCTCTTGAGCCTTTCTTGGAGGCTTCGAGCAACTTGGGGACAGCTCTTCCCATCTCGAGGTCTTCCGGAGGTCTCTCCAGCGGCACCGAAGCGCATCGTAGCATACGGCAAACGAATCTGATTTCTTAACCCTTGCCGACAGCCCTCAAAGCGACGCCGCAGCTTCGTTCGGTTTGGAGGTCTAAGTCTAAAGGGGGTATCGGCCCGGGCACACCCTATCCCTAAACCCTAAACCCAAAAACCCAAACCCAAACCTGTGGCATCAGGTGACACTGCTCCAGTGCGCTGGACTCGTGCAACGTGTATCGATAGTAGCGGCTGAAGACCTGGCTGCCGGGACATGAAGCAGCTTAACCTTAGAGCCCTTCAAACCTCCGAAACCCCTTTAAAAAGGGGGCTCACAGTGCATGTCTGGTTTAGGGTTCAGGGGTCTAGGGTTTAGGGTTTAGGGTTTAGGGTTTAGGGTTTAGGGTTTAGGGTTTAGGGTTTAGGGTTTAGGGTGTAGGGTGTAGGGTGTAGGGTGTAGGGTGTAGGGTGTAGGGTGTAGGGTGTAGGGTTTAGGGTTTAGGGTTTAGGGTTTAGGCTTTAGGGTTAAAATCAAGCCATGTTAAGGTCCTAGAGCCTCGCTGTCATGGCAAACCTTACAAACTGCACACCCCTAAACTGGAACCTCCCTTGTCAGCCCGGCCCACTGCAAGGCTTCAAGAAGCCCTAAACCCTAAAACCCTGATTAAACCCCAAAATCTAACTTTTCAAATCCCTAAGGCAATGGAAGGTTGGGGGGGGGGGGGGGGCGACCGAACCACAACCTTGTCACCAGAACCTTGCAACCCGGGAACGATCCAAGGCGCACGCGCAGCCCCGAAGATACCGTTCTAAAGCTCTAAAGCTCCCGAAGCCCTGAAACCCTGCGTACTATTTGCTTGCTTAAGAACCCCCCAAAGACATCAAAATTGCTTTCTTGCGACTCTTCCTGATAAGGGTAGCAAAGGGAGTATTATCTTCCATTTCTTGCGGTTCTTCAGCAAATAGTAGTATATCGCACTAAACCATCCAGAAAGCCCTGTGCACTGGGCCCGGAACCCAATCGCCTTTGGCGAAAACGTCCTTGGCTATTCGGCTGGGGCATTAAGCACATGCAACGCTCTTTCTACTGTACATCTCTGCACCCTAAACCCTACAAAGCTGCATTGTTGGTGCTTTTGGCGTTTTGTGCGCCGTTTGGTTTTCAATGGAGGTTGCTCAGCTCCGTCGTGGAGAAGACACGTCATGGAAAAACAAGGTTTCTTGGCTGCACTGAGCAGGGTAGCAATAAATTTAAATTTTTTGGCGGCTTTCTCAAGAAACCCAATAAACCCAAAAAAAGGCTAAGGATCTAAAGTTACTGTAAAGCACCACAGAGAGTTTAGGGCGGAGCCTTGAGCGCTTCGTGGTGTTTAGAACTCGGGTCGCGGGCACCCTGAATAGGAGGCCAGGTCGCCAAGCCAGAAACCCTAAACCCTATACCCTAAACCCTATACCCTAAACCCTAAACCCTAACCCCGAAACCCTTAAACCCTAAACCCTAAACCCTAGTTCAACCCAGACCAGTGTCACTTTGGCAGCTTTTGTCGATGTCGTCGCAGCTGAAGATGCGTAGGTGCTTGCAACCTCGGGATGGGTGGCCCCACACCCAAAAGCTGCGGAACCCCAACTTAGTTGTCCAGTACCTAGGGCTTTTAAAGGTTAACCTTTGGGATTATAAGGGGAATATATTACCCCAAAAAGGTTAAAGGTTACCTACTCTACTACTAAGCCAAGTATCGCAAGCCCTGAGCTTCAAAAACACTCGTCGCTCCTTATCATCCCTTTTCTCCTTTACCTGAGAGTATATTGCTCCTGAGCAGGGAAAACCCCGCCTACACCCTCCAAAGCACTGCCCCGTGCACGCTGTAAGGCCCCAGAAGAAGCTGTGAGAAACCCAACATCTCGCCAAGTCTCCACCCTGCACTCTTGCAAGTACAGAGGGCTGAGACGGAACTTCTATAGGGTTTATATTCATCATTCAAGGTGTTCAGGGTTCGGACACTAATGTTCAAAACCAGCAACGCGTCCTTCAGGGCAAGATATTGCTAGTTCCACTCTCCAGAAAAGAACATGCACACACAAACACGCATGTATAAATACATAAATACAAATATGCGTACATATATCTATATATATATATATATGGGTATACATATATATACATACATGTATATATATATATATATGTATATATATATATATATATATATATATATGTATGTGTATATATATATGTATATATATGTATATATATGTGTCTATATATATATATACGACATTTACATATGTATACACATATATATGTACAAAACGTATTGTTGATGCATTTTTTCATTTGCTAAATGAGGTTTCCCAAGTACGGGGGGGGGGGGGGGGACCTTGGGTCCTATTTCTTGGGGGGGTCTCTAAGCGGGGTTATTGTGTATCGCAAACCCCCCATAGACATTTACATGCCCTTAGACCTTCGTCATCATGTCCAGGATCAGATCAGAATTCGGGGTTTAGGGAATAAGCTGCACCACTAGAAGTCACAAAACCCCTCAGAAGTCATTTGCGCTTTCGAGGCCCGCGCCCCAGGCAATCGCCTCCTTTGCAATCAAGGGTTGCGGTTTCAAAGTCAGTCAGCGTATTGCCCAGGCAGCGTGTGAGCGTGTGTGTGTGTGTGTGTGTCTTGTCTTGTCTGTGTCTGTGTCTGTGTCTGTGTCTGTGTCTGTGTCTGTGTGTCTGTGTCTGTGTGTCTGTGTCTGTGTGTCTGTGTCTGTGTGTCTGTGTCTGTGTGTCTGTGTCTGTGTGTCTGTGTCTGTGTGTCTGTGTCTGTGTGTCTGTGTGTCTGTGTCTGTGTGTCTGTGTCTGTGTGTCTGTGTCTGTGTCTCTGTGTCTCTGTGTCTGTGTCTGTGTCTGTGTCTGTGTCTGTGTCTGTGTCTGTGTCTGTGTCTGTGTCTGTGTCTGTGTCTGTCTGTGCCCCAAGCCCCTCAACCCCCCCTAACCCTGAGCTCCCTAAACTCTCAAAAACCCAACACGCCGCTAAACCACGCCTGCACTTCCTGTCTTGAGGCATTCGGATTGGAGACGCAGGCCGCGCGTGCGTCAATCTTCCTGCGTCTTGGGCTTTGGGTTTCAGGAGCTTGGGTGACAAGCCTCAACCCTCTAGAAACCAAGCCCGCAGCCCTAGCTAGAAGATGCTAGGAGGCCAGCTTGCTGTTCTACTTACAGGACTGACAGGACAGCCATGAACTGCATGGTGTCGAGCTGAAGAAATGGGTTCGGGGGCTTTGAAGGGCTTTTGCGAGGGAGGCTTGGCAATGCTGGCCACAAAGGGTCAGGGATCTAAGCTGAATCTTCCTTGTTTCGCAAGTTTCTACCAGTTCTATGACAACTCCTACAAACTCTCTCGTTTCAGGTGGAAGACGATGGGAAGCCGAAGAGCGAAGGGCCCGAAGCTCGTAAAGCCGAAAAGCCCGAAACCCTGGATCTTTGCCTCAATCACTCAACTTCTACAGTCCTCATTGGTGCGAAAAAGCAGGCAGCAAAACAACTGCCACAAGAAGCCCCCAAAGGCCAACAAGCCCATCCTTTCCTATCGCTTTTCCGAAGCACCTCTTAAGTGGGCCCGGTGTCACTCTTTAGGGTGAAAGGATTTAGGGCCTCTCCTCGATCCCTGAGCACCACAGAAAGCCTCTTGAACCTCTTGAGAACCTCTTGCGTCTTGATCAGAAAGCACAAAAGCCTGACACAACCAAAGAAAATGGGGTTTTAGTGTTTCGGGTTTAGGGGTTTTTATTATGCTTCAGGGATTTGGGGTTAAGCCCTGAACCATTCGACGCCGGGGCGCAACCATGGGGATTGGTGCATGTCTTTGACCTTGCTGCGGGCTGTGGGACTCAGAAGTTTACTCAGGAATTTCAGCGAAAGGTTTAGGGTTTAGGGTTTAGGGTTTAGGGTTTAGGGTTTAGGGTTTAGGGTTTAGGGTTTAGGGTTTAGGGTTTAGGGTTTAGGGTTTAGGGTTTAGGGTTTAGGGTTTAGGGTTTAGGGTTTAGGGTTTAGGGTTCGGGGTTAGGGTTTAGGGTTTAGGGTTTAGGGTTTAGGGGGTTTAGGGTTTAGGGTTTAGGGTTTAGTGTATAGGGTTTAGGGTTTAGGGTTTAGGGTTTAGGGTTTAGGGTTTAGGGTTTAGGGTTTAGGGTTTAGGGTTTAGGGTTTAGGGTTTAGGGTTCATGGATTGTAACACTCGGATGCAAATTTGTTAAAGCTGTCCGGTGAGTCTGAGGGGGCTTTTCGCGCCGGTGTTGTTGCGCCCAGAGTCTGAGGGGTTTGGGGTTTAGGGCTTAGGGCTGAGGGCTTTGGGTTTAGGGTTTAGGGTTGAGGGTTTAGGGCTTAGGGCTTAGGGCTTAGGGCTTAGGGCTTAGGGTTTAGGGTTTAGGGTTTAGGGTTTAGGGTTTAGGGTTTAGGGTTTAGGGTTTAGGGTTTAGGGTTTAGGGTTTAGGGTTTAGGGTTTGGGGTTTAGGATGCAGGGCTTCGTTGATACTTCCCATCTTGAAGTTTTTTTTGTCGGGGGGGGGGGGGGGGGGGGGGGCCGTGAGGCTTGCACCATAAAGCGCCACAGCCCGCAAGCTAATTTCTAAACCCGAAACTGTAACCTAAACCCAAACCCTATACCCTGCATGCCCAAGGCGCCCTAAAAATTCCTACATCGGAGTCGACCAAGTCTTAACACATCTGCAGGTACGAGTAGGGTTTAGGGTTCAGGCTTTAGGGCTTAGGGCTTAGGGCTTAGGGTTTGGGGTTTATTGTTAAGGGTTTAGGCTTGAGGGTTTAGGGTGTTGAGGGTTGATCTTGGCGAAACCTACATCCCCCACCATCAGCCCTGATTGCCCAGGGAAAGAAAACGGAGAGCCACACCGAGCCCTGACCCACCCTAAACCCTAAACCCTAAACCCTAAACCCTGAGCCCTAAGCCCTAAACCCTAAACCCTAAACCCTAAACCCTGCACCCTGAACCCTGAACCATAAACCCGAAACCCTACCTTGCAACTCATCCGAAGATGCAAAAAACGCTTCACACGACCCGACCGTAGAAGAAACCAAAACCCTCCGAGATGGCGGCCACGTCGGCAAACTCGAAGCCCGGACCTGGCGGGCTTGGCCGGTTTAGGGTTTAGGGTTTAGGGTTTAGGGTTTAGGGTTTAGGGTTTAGGGTTTAGGGTTTAGGGTTTAGGGTTTAGGGTTTAGGGTTTAGGGTTTAGGGTTTAGGGTTTAGGCTTTAGGGTTTAGGGTTTAGGGTTTAGGGTTTAGGGTTTAGGGTTTAGGGTTTATGGGTTTAGGGTTTAGGGTTTAGGGTTTAGGGTTTAGGGTTTAGGGTTTAGGGTTTAGGGTTTAGGGTTTAGGGTTTAGGGTTTAGGGTTTAGGGTTTAGGGTTTAGGGTTTAGGGTTTAGGGTTTAGGGTTTAGGGTTTAGGGTCTAGGGTTTAGGGTTTAGGGTTTAGGGTTTAGGGGGGCTCTTCCCTTTTTAGAACAGAGGTGAAAAAGCATCTCTCAAGTCTCAGACCCGAAGCGCCTGCGAGGACTATCATCATTGTCTTGGTCTTGTCCACCAGCAACGCCATCCCCCCTCTCTCTGTTCTAAAAAGGGAAGAGCCCTTTAAACCCTAAACCCTAAACCCTAAACCCTAAACCCTAAACCGGCCCACCCCAACCCTAAATCGACGCGAAGGTGCCTGTGTGCTCGAGGTAGATGTTGGCGAACTCAGCGAGGCCGACCCTGTCCACGATCAGGGCGCCCATGTGCCTGGGAACTCGAATCGCCAAGGAAAGCCTAGCCGAAGACCCCAAGCCCCTGAGCTCTAAGTCCTAGTCTGGAGGTTTGAGCCCTGGGTCTTGGAGTAGCGTGCCGGCACTTGGGTGGAGTCTGGACGGGCGCGAAGTGCTGGCAGACCCCTACAACCCCGCAACCCTCCAGACTCCAGATTTCCGTGCGGAGTGGTGCTGAATGCTTAAAGCCTCAAAACCTCTACATAACCCGCACACCCAAAACGTACGAACCCCAGCATCTGCAGAACTTAGTTCCAACTGAGCACAGCGGGCATCATTGCAATGCAACACGACGCCAAGAAGAATGCCTGTGCCAAGGCCTGTGTGGTGCCTTCGGTCACGCGAATCTGCTTTGTGTTCCGTGACAGCGGGTCCGGCAAGACTGCCATGGATCCCAAAACCCGGAACCCCAAACACTGCATCACCAACATCCTTCCATCAAGCAAGCTTAACCTCGAAGCTGCACACGCACCCCTAAACCCTAAAGCCTAAAGCCTCAACCGAAAAGCCTGTTGCTGTATCACTGAGTCCGCAGCTTTGCCATTCGAGCCAAGTAGGCGATCATCTTGCCTGCCCCCCCCCCCCCCCCTGCGCCCCTAGAGTTGCCAAACTTCCTACTTGTCTTTTGCGTTCACTGACTTCTTTTTGGGGAGTTCGCGTGGCTTAGGGCCGTATAAACCATTGAGTCACGGGTTGAGTCGCAAGGACTTGCACGGCGTCCGGATTTTCTGCTCCTCGGGGTGTCTAGACGTACAGTCGGCCATGCCGTCCTGGAGGGAGCATACTGTCCTCCACGCACTCCGGAAGATGGCGAAGAGAGCGAGAGCGAGAGCGAGAGCGAGAGCGAGAGCGAGAGCGAGAGCGAGAGAGAGAGAGAGAGAGATATATATATATATATGCTAATATATATATATATATACATATATATTTTTCTTTTCTCCCCCCTGACGCCCGGAATGAACTGGAGGGAAGTTCTCCTCCTCGTGACTCTCATGCGCCCCCATTCCCGGGCACCCCAAGTCCGAACCACAAAAGGACCAAACACCCCAAGCATTGTTTTGGGTGTTTAGGGTTTAGGGTTTAGGGTTAAGGGTTTAGGGTTTAGGGTTTAGGGTTTAGGGTTTAGGGTCTAGGGTTTAGGGTTTAGGGTCTAGGGTTTAGGGTCTAGGGTTTAGGGTTTAGGGTTTAGGGTTTAGGGTCTAGGGTTTAGGGTTTAGGGCTTGTCTTCCCAATAAGACGCAGCCCGGTCGCCTTGGTTGTGCAGGCCGTTGATGAGGTTGTAGCCCAGAGGGGACAGCGGAACTGTGTCCTGCGCATGGGACTCTACCTCACTCCTCGAAGGTTGTACCCCAAACCCTAAACCCTAAACCCTAAACCCTAATACCCTTTGGGTTTGGGAACCTTTCGCAAAGATCCTTTAAGGGGAATAGAAGGGCCAAAATCAGGAGAATAGAAAGGGGACCTCTTAGGGGTACATCCTAAGGGGTCCAAGTTCGACTCCGGGTTGAGGGAAGGGTTTGGAGTTTAGCTCTGCTGGAGACTTTGAGTCGATACTGGGTTTAGGGTTTAGGGTTTAGGGTTTCGGGGTTTAGGGTTTGGGGTTTAGGGTTTAGGGTTTGGGGTTTAGGGTTTAGGGTTTAGGGTTTAGGGTAGGCTTAAGGCTCAGGACTCGCAACTGCCGGAACCCCGAAGCCTAAACTCTGCCCCCAGTCCCCTCATCAGCACCTGACACAAGAGCGCTACTCAGACCTGAAAGCGAGAAACTTGTTCCCTAAACCCTCAACCCTCAACCCTAAACCAGGGTTGGTGTCCAAGTACCCCCGCAACCATCAGCTCATGGGAGTTCTGGCTTGGGGAGGCTTGGGCTTTAGGGCTTGGGATTTCGGATTCAGGGTTTCAGGGTTCAGGGCTGAGCCATATGGACTAGCAGACGACACTGCGGAAGCCCCTCCTAGCGGTCCAAATGCTCCTCCCCACCCGCGTCCCCAACACTCTGAAGCTCTGGAAAGCCTGAAAGCCCTGCAACCAAAAACTGAAGACCTAACGATGACTAAAGTCCAAAAAGATGTCCAGAGTCCGATGCCCTCAAGCCCCGAGATCCAAGCCTGTAAAGTGAATTCTAAACTTTGATGTGTCTCCACAGGCAGAGACAGAGAGAGAGAGAAGAAATGCTTCCCCGAGGTCCGGCTGCGGCAGGCAGAGCTCCTTCGCCGAAGCACTAACCAGTTCTACAAACCCTGAACATCTTGGCCATACCTCTTCCCACAAATACTAGCCCTGCCTAACGTTCAACATGGCCGAACCCCCTTTCCGGACCCCGGCTTGCAGGCAGAACACTCGGTCTAAGCCCACTTCACAATCCAGTATGCTTCCCAGAATGCCCACTGCATAACCGCACAAGGAAGTTCAAGATTAGTTGATAAGTGCCACTTTCCACAACCTGTCGGGTATACTATGATGTCTTACAAAGTCTGAGTTCTCAGTTCAGCAACCTACAACAAAGCAACGTCATGTTAACTATTCTGTTGAAGGACGTTTGCTTGCTTCACTGGCTTGGGCAGGCTTGTGAAGCTTGTTTGCTGGGTGTCCTTTTCAAGCAGCACGTGTTATTTGAAAACACCACGGTGCACCAGTGGCTTGGAATAGATTGCAACGCTGGGTATGACGAGCCAGGATAAGATTCCAAGAAGTGTGTTTGGCACTTCGCCGTGATGGCATACTGCATTGTAAGGCAAGCTTCGCAATGGCATGACGTGTTGAAAAGCAAGCTTGCAAGGCTTCAAAAAGCAGGGTGGTGGGGGGGTGGGGGGAACCCCCACATCAACGTTGGTATATCCGACTTGGAAAGGATACCTATGGGTTCTTTGTTCAAGTAAACTTTTCTGGATGGCACATGATGCCTCTTCAAGCAACCTGGCAGCCCTACATGAAAGCGTGGGGGTTCGGGGGCCGAGGGGCGTCCGTATTATTCTCCCACCCCTCCCCACTCCTCCCCACCCCTCCCCACCCCTCCCCACCCCTCCCCACCCCTCCCCACCCCTCCCCACCCCCCCACCCCTCCCCCCCCTCCCCACCCCTCCCCACCCCTCCCCACCCCTCCCCCCCTCCCCACCCTCCTCCCCACCCCTCCCCACCCCTCCCCACCCCTCCCCACCCCCGCCACCCCCAATGCGCAGCATAGTACTTAAACTGCTTACCGTACACCCTAAACCCTGAACCCGAAACCCTAAACCCTGAACCTCCCACCCTCATTTTGAGGATCCGGCACCCTCAAGGCGTAAAAGAGCCTCATCAACTAAGGGCTCCTCGACATCCAGGCTGCGTCCTCCATACGCCTACCAGGGCGTTAGGGTTTAGGGTTTAGGGTTTAGGGTTTAGGGTTTCGGGTTTAGGGTTTAGGGTTTAGGGTTTAGGGTTTAGGGTTTAGGGTTTAGGGTTTAGGGTTTAGGGTTTAGGGTTTAGGGTTTAGGGTTTAGGGATTAAAAGGGTTTAAGGTTTGGGGTTTAGGGTTCGGGTGTCTTTTTGAAGCCTTCCGCGTAGTCTTGAGGATTCTGGAGCCTTCTTCGGGGCCTTTCGTTTGGAGAGCCGTTTAGCCTTCAAAATCTTCAGAAGCCGTTTCGGATGGAGCATGAAGGGGCTTCGAAACGGAACCATTTCTGCCTGCAGCGTGCGGCACTGTTCCGTGAGCGACGCCTAGCTAACTTCGTGAGAGGCCTTGCTTCGTAGGGCAGTTCGCTGATGTGCAAATGCCCCTAAACCCGAAACCCTAAACCCCAAACCCTAAACCCCTAACCCCCTAAACCCTAAACCCTAAACCCCTAAACCCTAAACCCTAAACCCTAAACCTGTGAGCTCCATCCAGCTACTTTGTGGGTACTCCCCGGTGCCTCCAAGTGGCATGCAACATACATGCAAGGTAAAACTGGCAGGAATGTGCAGATATAATAAGTCTTTTGCCGAAGTTCAAACTCCGACCCTACATTCCGAAATTGTGTAAGCCATCAAACAGCAGGTTGTGAAGCTTTAAATCTCAGCGCTGCACTCAGGTGCTCCTGCAATGAAACCCTGCGACCCCGAAACCCTAAACCCTAAAATAAACCCTAAACCCTGAACCCCAAACCCTAAACCCGAAACCCGAAACCCTAAACCCTATGCGGAGCTGCAGTTTGTATTCAAGAGAAGAGTTGGTGTAGAAGGGTTAAGGGTCAATGAACCGGAACAATTTTTGGCTCAAGATCGGGCCATTGCTTGGTGTTTTGGGTTGGTTTGTTGTTTGTTGGTCCAGGGGATCAAGGGCTTCTGTTGGGGTTGACTGTTTTGTTCCCTGTCCTCCTTCGGTTGCCCCCCGTAGGTTATGAGCCCAACTTAGGCCCCCTGCGGTCGGGTGTTCTCTCAAGGTTTTTGGGATCAAGAAGCAATGCCTTCTCCCAAGCGATGGCTCCAGCCTTCTTCGGATGGTGGTCAGAATGGTGGAGCTGGAAATGGTGCAGCTGAGTCTCTGGGTGAAAGGGCGGTGCTGGAAGAGGTAATGCCTGGCGCTGAAGAACATCTGGAAGAAGCCTTGGTTGCAGAAGGCCCCAATGTGGGTATGAATCCCAATGTGGATATGGTTAGCAATGTTGAAGCTGAAGGACGTGCTGTTTCTGTATCGCCAAAGCCTGGTGAAAAAAGGAACTGGGATGAAACTGGCTGTATGGATGTAGAGCTGGAAGCGACGGTGTTGCGCGTGATGCTGAAGCACGGCTTTACTACGGCGTCGTCTTCGTCTTCAAGTATGGTCAGTCAAGAAACGCAGACTGAACTGAGTGGTGAGGTGGCTCTATTGGAGAAGGTAAAGAACAAGATTTCTGATGGGCCAGGCAGTATGGACGGTGGTGACCTTCGTTCTTCAAGTGGTTCAGCTGGAAAAAAGGTACAGGAGCCACAGGAAGTGAGGGAGATGCATCCAGAGGAGATTTTGGAGCTGGAGGCCGTTATTCAGGAGGAGCGTGAGCAAGAGAACGCTCAACTGGAGCAATTGCGGCTGGAAGCAGATTCCTTCCTGAAGGGAAGCGAAGCTCCTATGGTCGATTCTGAATGGGAGATGCATTTTCAAGACGGTCGACCGTACTACTACAACATTGCTACTCAGAGGGCTCAATGGGAATGCCCAGATGGGTTCATCAACACTGCTGGAGAGGCGATGGCAGATGGACGGGCTACTGTTTCGGTTAAGGAAAAAGGGAAGAACAAGGTTTCTGTCCCACTGCCGGAACTGGGTTCTACAACGTCGACTCCGTCATCTGAGTCCATCAGGGCCTTGCAGGGTAGTGTCGATAGTTTGATAGAAAAGGATTTTTCCTCTACTGTCGGGGATAGCGGTCTTAGGGGTAGTAACGCTGCTGAGACC